CCTCATTTAGATCCATCACTCACTCAGTCCCATCTGACCAGCTTCCCTGTCACACCTGAGGAAGAGGCATCCTGCAGCATCAAAGTGCAAAGTGCGATTGTGTGTCCCCAAAGTGGCTTTTGGCAAACTCAAACCAGGAGTTAATGAAGCTTTCTTTGTTATTTTAAAACTGACATGGTCACAATTTGTGGAGTCCACATATAATATTTGTTGTGCAAGGAGGTGCTCCCACCCGAAGTGTATATTTCTGCAGCACCTCGGGCATTAACACAGGGCTGATGTTGTAGCAGTCAGTCTGGTTGGTTGGGAAGTCAGGTTTTGGCAAACTGCTTTTTAAGCTGATGGATTAAAGAAAGCTCTGGAAGATTCAAACTATGCGATATTACTCTTTAAGCAACACAGAATTGATCTCTTAAGGCTGATTTATACTTCGAAATATCTGCGCGTGTGTGGCAGTAAAAGTAGAGACACCCCTCCCCTTCCGCAGACACTCTGCTGCACCTCTCTCAAACTGTAGTTGATCGCAGACAGTGCTGCAGACAGGAGGCCTCTGATTGATCAATTCTACACTATGCGTATTTCCTGTTTGGTACCTTACTGGCTTGTTTTGTGTGTATGACCACCATTGTGGAAAACGACTCGTGAAGTTGGATCAGCTATAAGAGCGAGGTGCGTGAGGACGCAGGGACCCTTTTTCCACCAGGATCCCCGCTCTTTTTCTCCCTCATGTCCCTTTGTTATCACATTTTGAGTTTTTCCACTTCCTCGTCTCGGCCTTATCTAGACCCACAGCTACTTTGTGATCGTCCCTCTTGCGTTGTGACGTGGAATAACATAGCGCAGACCACTTATTTTTTCTAAAATGACTTGTAAAGACTTAACAGAAGAGGTGAAGTTAAACAGATTAAAGGACATCCTAAGGTCTCAGGGAATGAGTTATCAGATCTAAGGAATAAACCTAAGCCTACTGGGACCAGATTGATCTAAGCAGGTGTCCTAGCGGCCTGTATACGGGGGTCCGGAGTATCATTTGTGGTTCTCTATTTCCCCTGATTCATTGATGATCAAAGCTAATTGGTTACACTTGGACAACAACAACTGCTGTGGTGAAATTTGTATTTAAAAATTCAAGTTATATGTTCAATGGACCAAGCTAAACTTTAATATTATTACGAAATAACACAGTATAAAGGGGTAAGAGATAATCAGTTAGATCAATAAAATGATTAAACTATTTAAATTTCATTTTATTTCAGGGCTATGAAATAAAATCACACCAAAAATCTACTTAAGCTTTTTGAGGTAATATGAACAAATGTGGAAAAGTCTAAAGTTGTGTAAATAATTCTGCAAAGCAATTCATTTCAAAATGGGCAAAAATAAAATAATAAAACATAAAAATAGAACAGGACTTAAAAATCTGCAAATAAAGAAAATAACAGGAATGAAACGCAAAGAGGTACTCAAAAATATGGCTTTTAAATATATAAATAATAAAAAGAGCAGTAAGAAAAAAATAGGGGCAGCAAAACTAATAAAAACCAAAATGAAAAACGGACAGTGAGCTGAAGACCAGGTGAGAAACAGGGATCAGTATTCAGTAAATCAAATTTCAGAATACTCCATAAACCGTTTGCTTTTTATTGACTGACAGGTTTCTTTTTTTTTTTTCTCACTAGAATTGAAAACCTTGGGCATCCATTCAGGAGAAAGATTGATTTGGGAAAATAAAAAAGTAATGTATGTTTCCTGCCTCTTCCTCCAGTTTACAGCATCACTTTAATAAGTGCAATGACAGAAAAAAAAAACACTGTGAGCAGCTTATACAGAGGCCAAATATGAATGTTTCAGAGTAAACAGAAAGTAGGAGAGTTTCAAAAGACAGTAAAGGATGTTTACATTTGATCAACTCCAAAAATATAAGAGCATAAATTGTAAAAAGACGAGTGAATATCAGATCATCCACAGGATAGATGAGTGGAGACATGAAAAAGGCAGCTTCTCTTCAAACATTCAACTCTGTGCTGATCTTCCCAGGAGGCCCTGCAGCCTTTGCTGGCAGTAACCTTGTGCTTGTGAGCCGAGTCCCCTGAGATGCATGGGCCTTGTCAGAGTCGGAGCCCCCGAGCCACCTTCTAGAAACAGCCCTATAATTCTACACTACATCTGCATTCAGAGGTCGTTCATCACTGAGTGCACAGTCACAGGTATGCTGGCCTGTGGCTCTGGGCCCACCGAAAGCCTGACTGCAATTCCCGTAACTTCGCACAACTCTTAACTTTGAGAACAAATTATGAAAACTTCACTATTCCTCAGTTCCTTCAGCATGAATTCAGTTGTTAAAACTTACAACGAAATCAATCTCTAAAGCTTAATAGATACATCTGGACCTGCTTTTACCTTAAATTATGTGGCCATCATCACCTTGGGAAGAATAATGTAAACCTTTTTCATCATACCTTTTGCATTTCTGTAAACTTTGATCTAACCCAAAGGTCATGATGCAATCAGGGCTTCATTTTGGGATTTATTTTTTAAAATATTTTTCTTTGGGTTTATGGTAGGGGTCTACAACCTCTGTGAACTTTCTGAAAGGTCTCTGCAAAAACAAAGCCTGTACCTTTAATAGAATAGAGTAGACCAGGGGTCACCAACTAGGGAACTCTGGTCAGGATCTGCACTCTGTTTAGCCTTTCCCAGACCGCAGGACATTCTATGTGCCAACGTGAATTTATGGTAGTTTCATTTAAATTAGGGTTTTCATCAGGCACACTTTTGACATCCCAGCTGCGGCTCTACAGGTGCTCTCCACAAACTCTTTCAATCATTTTAGACCTATGGTCTGTTTACGATCTAAGATGAAAAGGGGATGAGACAGACAAGACGAGTGGGCAGAGAACTATGTGTGTGTTCTCTCAGGAAACGCTACACGACTGATCTGTTTAATCTGCCGTGAGTCTGTGTTGATTATAAAAAGTGACAACGATAAACTCCATTAAGATGCAAAATATAAAAAGTTTGAGGAAACTAACCCACAAGTATTTGAGGTAAAAAGATAAAAAAATAAACTGACTTCTGTTAAATTAATCTTGCTTGCTGATACCTAAGCTTTTTTCTATTACTTTGTGCAGCAACTGGATTCATGTGTAGCATAAACAAAAAAATCTATTAAAGCAGTTTTCGCTTTTCAATTTTGGAAAAGATTCAGTGCTATCTCTTAATGAGAATGCTCAAGATAGTGAGGAAATTGTTCTTTAAAGATCAGGAAGTATATTCTTAAGAAATACGTGTATTACATTCTTCTAAAATGTACTATAACTAGGAAAAGCACAAACAAGCTTAATAAAAGTAAACCTCAGTAGGTTTTATCTTTTCCAATGACCCACAGTTTTATGCAACATCCATACAGACCCCTTTGAGGGAGTGAGTTGAGGTACTGGACCCTCCTTAAAGTAGTTTAATACCCCTGACCAGACAATAACTTTAATTCTTTTGTATTTGTTAAAAGTACATAGTTTAGTCTATTCTATTAAAAGTACAAGTGTTTTTTTTTTTTTCCTGTTTTAGTAAATTATTCCTTTCCATGTTTTTACCATAACAACTACATGTGACCTGGACTATGTTGTTGTGATTGTGGAACTCCAACAGTAATAAAACAAAGGAAATATCCAAGTGCAAAAATTATTTTGATTTTCCTTTTTCCCAATGGCCAAAAAACCTTTTGTAAACCCAGAAACAATGGGCTTTTATTAGCAGTGGGAATGGCTCACTGACCAGTGCCAACCGGAGTCAAACGACTCGGCAAGCGACCTGTGTTAAAATCACCTTCAATAGCCTCGGCTCTGATCTGCATACAGTGGGAACATCAGACCTGGCTCGACCTGCTAATTTACGTGATACCATCGAACGCAATGTATAGATGTCAGCACACTACACCAGTCACGTCTGATCCATCAAACCTAAACAACCCTGGTTACCTAAAAAAAAAACACCACGCAACACTGGTAAGATGGTAAGACAGAGTCTGAGGGATAAAAGAGCCAAAAAATAATGCACACTTGGTACATGCTGGTCCTCTTCATGCTGCTGCTATGCACTGACGGCATCATCAACACTAACCCAGCATGATGGCGTCACCAGACATGCAGCAGTAGGGGCACAGAGGAGATGCAGCTTGCTGGCAGGGGGTTAGACCCAACTCTTTTTGCCAATGGTAAGGCAGCCAAATGCCAATTGTTAGCAGGTCGACCTGTTTTTGAAAAACCTGCATTACCCCGTTAACTTAAGTGGGAAAGAGGCTAAGATGTGTTTCAAAGTTTCATTTCCAGTTTGCTTTTTTCCCCCAAAATTTTTTCAGTTACAAAACATGCACTTTGCTTGTAAAAACCATGAAACAAAAAAAACAATCCACAGATTTTTAATCTCAGATCAACTTGAATCATCTTAGTGATGCTATCTGCTTTACATCTAGGCCCCTACCCAAAGGTAGATCTTTAATCTTGAAAGTAGCTGTGTTTCCATTACAAATCTGTGCAAAACTATGTTGATATTCTGCTCATTTCAAAACTGTAAAGTTTCGCAATTGCATTATTTCCGCTAAATAACAATTATAATTAAATCGCACCTGAATATGTTTTTTCATGTGATAACTGCAAGCAACATGGCGGATGTAAACACATACATGAGATAAATCAATAGTTCAGCCTTGGCTCTAGTGGGCGCCATTACCCTCAAACTACTTTCAGTCTTACTTCTCATCTTTTTACAAGGCAGTAAGGTCCATTTGCAGACTACACCACTCTTGGGATGCAAATAAAAGTGTATCCATAGCAGGTTTGGGAAGTATAAGGCTTTTGACACGACCGAAAAAATATTTTAATCTTAGCGCAAAAACTTTTCATGCAGCAAGGAATAGAAGGAGCTCCCTGGTTTACAACACACACAGAAAGACCCAACTGCCGGATTGAAATTAGGTTTTTATGAGACGACGCAACACTCACCTTGACGTTTCCTCCTATCAGGTCGGGTGGCTCTTCGTCAGCTTCCAAAGCCACGTTGATGGTGGCAAAAGGCCGACTGGCCATCTGCTGCATCTCCCTCAGCAGTTGCTAGGAGAAAATAGACAAAGATGTCGGTAAGAAACAGTCCAATCTATTAACTGTCCGATCTTTAATTGGCTGCATATCTTTGATACAGATTTGTTTTGCCAAAACCTGCTAAGCTAATATGTCAGAACAGTGTTAATCTCAAGGCTTTTCTTGCTTGGAAAACTGCTCCATCTTCCTGAACAACTCCATGTTTGTAGCGTTAAAAGATGGCATTATCCGCCTTAACTGAGAACATGAAGACATATTTACAAAAACTCCATCATTAAAGATTATATTTGATACCAATTAGTAATTTAGGATAAAGTATTTGAATTTGCCTTGAAAGGACACAAAGAAGGAAAGCATATGGCACATCTGGTTTCCTACTACTTTCTCAGCATGTAGTCAAGATCTACATGGTTGTCCTAGTGACCTAGCTATTTGATTCAGGTGGGTTTCTTCAATTCAATTCAATTTATTTACATAGCGCAAATTTACAACATGTCATCTCAAGGCACTTAACAGAAAGAATTCAACCAGATCGTATAATCAGTCATACAGTCATTGGTTCAAAGTTTTCTATCTAAGGAAAACCAGCTGATTGCATCCACTCATTGACTCTCATCCATCCCTCACACCAATCATTGAAAGCTGACACTCCCTTTTTCTGACAGGTCAGAAAAAGGAAGCATCATTCAAATCAACATGACGCCAATTATTCATTACTTATTTATTATTTAAGTAGAAAACTTGTTGACCTGGACTTATTACCATACATTATACCACCTTAGTAGCTTCATCTAGTCTGGTTCTGTTTGGCTGAACACCAAAAGTTGATTTTGGGTTAAGTTACACTTCAAGTAGAGTCCCTTGACTAATTGAGCCAATCACCTGTGGATTCCATGCTCCAGTTCTAAGATTAATTAGCTTTTAACCGAGCCCTTAATTAAAACTGATGCCTCACAACTTGTTTAGAGCTCATTAAGAGTAAGACTCAACTGAATTTGACACAGATAAGAGGTATTTTCTTACAGGAACTGCTTTGTCTATTTAAAATCTTAGCATCAAAAACATCCGTCTAAATTGTCAAAATAATACAGTAACAACAAGAAGCCAACCTTGTACGTCAGAAAACAACCAACTGGTGCCAACAAACTGTATTCTAATCGTTGCACATTTGTACACAGTGAAAGGCAGCGGCCTAACCTCATCTTCATTTGATTTACAACACAGACCATGGCCAAAGGAGAAGGAGGAGAGGTTATTAAGGATGGAAGGAAAGGAGGAGGAGAAACGGACATTAAAGAATACATAAAGACGATGTAGAGTGAATTAAGAGTAGAGTATAAGGAGTTTGACCTAAAACTGACTGAGCAAAAGGACAAAAGGATGACAACTGAGAAACAGCATTGACTGTCAAAACATCATTAACTGATTACCGACTTCAAGGCTGGTATAACATCTGCAGCTTTCATCAGAACAAGAAAAATAGATCTAGCTGGAGCAGATATAAAGAAATCCAGCAAAGCTTTTTAAGAGGTTAGACTATTGATCATCATCAAATATGTCTACTGCCACTTCAACTGAAAGGAATTTAAACGCTGACAAAGAGACCTGATGTGTGTGTGGTCACAGTTTGGTTTATAAACCAACAATCATGAGAAACTCAATACCCTCCTTAAGTTGTCTCATTAAAATGAGTTGGCATGAAAGAAAAAGGCGCAGTCACTGCGCTTCAAACTGAAATCGGGCAGACAGAATGACAATATTTGTGTAGAAAGAGGCCACAGGTCCTCTAATGAAACCCTTGACGGCTTTCAATTAATCTGCTGAGTGCTTTCATCCTCTGTGAGGCTGCCAAATGTGCTTATTGACATGTTAGCACCTTCCTGCGAAATGTGACACTTACAATGATTTCTTTAATAGGGGTTATGGTGGAAATCTGAAGCCACCCATTTCTCATTCTCTCTCTCTCTATATATATATATATGTATTGGTAACGTTAAAAGAAAATTCATCCTCTTAAACTCTCACAGCTGTTCTTGCCCCAGATGTCTCAGCTGAAACAGCTATGCTAGAGCGAGCTGTTTCGTCGCTTTTTATCTTCTTTCACAAAAGAAGTTATCAATATTTGTTATTAAAATATATTTCAGACTTATGACGCTCTGAAGTGGTAAGCGGCAAAGCAAGAACAATAAGGATCCCAGCAGTACTCTGTTGAACATCCAGTACATGTGGTGCCATGTTGGCTTATCATTGAAGTCTGGTTGACAGGCGGCAGGAGGAAACCAGCGGGATTTCTAGACATAGCGAGCAAACCTGTTGGAAGCAGTGTACTGCCATATGGTTCACGGTGTTTGTACAGCCTTTCATTAATTTAATGATTATCTTTTAATTGTATTCAATGAAAAATATCTATTTTTAACTTGTCTTTGGAGGAATCAGGGTCCAAGTTTTGCATTTGCTTTGCAGCTTTTATGTTGGATTTAGAAATGTTCTCCTTTTCCGAAATGAGAGATGAGGTAAAGACCTACATTCTTCAATGCTTAGGTCATTTTGACATGCTAGTTCTATTAAAGTTCTAGTAGAGCTTTGCTTTACAGCGACTGCTTTCTCAGAGGGTGAAGGACGCATTCACACTGGTGGCCTGGTGAATATATTGGTAAAAGTAAGAAAGTTCAGACCTTAAGGGTCTAATTGGCTTTCACAAAGATGTTTTTAGACTAGCCATAAAAAAATATTATCCAGTTGCAGCTAAGGATGCACCAATTTATTTTAATTTTAATTCACATTTAACAATTCAAATCTAAAGGAAGTTTGTTGTTTACAACCAATAGTTGTTGTTGTTTTTTTATCAAAGCAATGAGTCATCTTGGTCTGTAGAACCAAAATATATTGTATTTATATTTCATTACCTATGCTCATGTATATGATTTCAAGCTTGTACTTTTTTTACCTAAAGGGTCTGTGTGCAGATCAAAACAGAGCTTGGTGGCATAATGAGCAGAGAATAAAAGTCTAGGATGTTGCTATTGAATGTTACATGCTTGGTTGTCCTTGGGGAACACCAACAGGATAAAACATTTGTCTGATCATCCTGCAGCCATGATAAGGCAGCTATGAACCGGCGCAGCAATAGATAGGAAAAAAAAAAAAAAACCGCTCTGACCATCGGTCTGTTTGGCTTATCAGAGCATGCTGTTTTTGCTGGCGGTAGCACAGGTGTTCACCTGCCTGCAAGGGCTCAGGGTAAGAAAATGACTGAGTCTGAAGGGTGCTGGGTTCCTGTTTTCACAGCACTTTTCTCACATTTATGTGCAAATAAGGAGAAACACAGGTTCTGTAGCAGTCCCATCCTAAAAGTCAGTGTATCAGCCTAATTTCAGTGTAATTTTGAAAAGCTTCCCTAACCAGGGTTCGTGCTGCACAGAGTCCAGGGATAGGGAGATATCAGTCAAAGGGCTGATTTCAGCTAAGCAGGGCTGCTAACGAAAACCCTGGCTAGAATATCAGACCAAGACCCCCTCTTTAGCCAGGGTACCAACAACCTGACAGTGAATCTGAAGAGACAGAAAAGGTTTGGGATCATGAAAAGGAGGCTTTTTGATTAAAGCTTTCGAACCAGTCACCTCAGATCATTTATGAAACACCATAAGAGGCAGGTGAGCAATTAGAAGCATGGAGGAGCTGCAGTTGTGTCAATTTATTTTTATCCAAATATTAATTAAAATCAGTCTGAATAAATTGTGAAAATCAATGACTTCATAAAATACATATAAAAACAGATTTAATGCTTCCAGGAAAAAAAAAAAACTAAGCAAATTTAAATCATTTGAAATCGAAATTGGAATGAAAATAATACACTTCTGGGTTTAACTGTACGCTGGAAAAACAGATGGATGTAGGAAGAGCATATGGACTTGACAGGCAGATGGCTGGGATGGCCTGTTGGACGGACGGAACAATGCCTGGACAATCTGTCTGATGACTAGGACTTCTACAAAATGAATAAGTTCTGAAAACAAAGAGCTCTCCATGCTTCTTTTCTAGAAACCATTCTTTATACAGAAATTGTCAGATTAAACCTCAAATTGATGAGAAAATCTAGTAGATGGAAGGGAGCTAGTGGATGAAGTACCTCTGATCCCTGAGCTTGGACTTTTTGAGCATTAAGGGCAGGAACAAGGCTGCTGATAAAAAGTGGAAAAATCCTCATATTGGAGGGACTTCATTAAAGTTCTCACATCAAAGAGAACATCAAACATAAACCTAATCACTCATGACACCAAGAACTACAAGCAGGAGCTATAAATAGAAACATATTAGTAGAACAACAACAGCCATTAAATATGAATGACTCCAAAGACAGAGACACATGGATGAATCACAACGACAAACAATAGAAACCAGGCCGGAGAGGCTGATCTGCTCACTCTTTAAACTTTCCAGCATCACACGGGAAGCAATGAAAATGTAAATGAGCGAATGAATGTGCCGAATGTTGATTCATCATGATTAGACATATGGTTGCATGAAGTGTTTGACAGGCAGAACATGTCGTCTCATCACAGCAGAGACAGCAGAGCATGTAGCAACACAACATTACTCTAAGCACGTTTCACTCTTAACGGATGGGTGATTTATTTTGGGTTTAAATTGCATATTAATCTTTCACACTATGAAGTATAATCTTATGTAACAATGATCATGTGCTTTCTGCCTGACTTAAACTAGACCCTTTCTGAGTCAGATGATTAACTAAACTTTAAGAAAACTGGAATAAATTCTGTCTTCATCGAGTCGAGAAACCAGACGGCTACATAGCTGTCTGGGTGTGTCTGAGAAGGCAGGAATCTGCATGCAGACAACATCTTTACTCATAAGCACAACTCCTTGAGTGTCACAAAGCCGCTAAATTGATTTACCGGATAAAAAGCAGGAAAGGCATCTGAATGCTGTGGTAAACAAACTTTTTAGATTCAGCCCACCTCACTGAAACCTCTCTGCAGAACGGCTCGGTC